GCTTGCCTTTCTCACCAACACAAGTTGGTCCAATAAAATATATTACTTCACCCACCATGTCACTTTCTAGCAGTCCTGATATGTGACTAATGGTGGTGACAATCTCAGAGAAAGAACTGTTAATGGTTAAAGCATGGGTCTGGAAATTGGGTGACCAGGGTTTTGATTTCCAGGTCTGCCATTGATTGCAGCATAGCCTTGGGCTATTCATTTTGTGGTTCAGTTTCCCTATCTGTAAAATGGAGAAGATACCTATTTCACAGGAGAATAAAGAGATTTAATATATAAAGATGACTGCAACTGCATTTAAATTATAAATCCACTTTTACCCCCTCTAGGATCCACATGGGTTAGGGATGTTATCACAGTAGAATTTTTCAAACAAAATTTGAAGTAAATTGCATAAAGCATTCATTCCTGCATTAACACTAAAAACAAACCACCTTTTTTGCTATTTGATATTGAAAGAAGGAAAGAGATAAAAACTGAGTTTACTGGACTCATCTAGACTAGATCTAGTGACCAAAGATTAGTTGGTTAAATTCCAGTTTTAAAAGGAAAAATTTTAAATAGTAATGCAAGAATGGCATGCCTGCTCCAATGATCTTAAAATAGCCATCAAATGAATGCTGGAGGTTTACCCTTTCATGACAATCCGTCTAAACCTTTTCCTCATAGGAAGAAAAAACTGAATTGATTGCTACGGGGGCTTGTCAATGGGGGGGAAAAAACAGTTACTAACCTTTCTAGTAACTGTTGTTCTTTGAGATGTGTTGCACATGCCCATTCCAATGTAGGTATCTGTGCGCCCTGAGCACAGTTGCCAGAAATTTTTCCCTTAGTGATATCCGTTGGGTCAGCTCTAGCACCCTCTGGTGTCACAAGCTCATAGCACAGGTATAAGGCCCTCCCAACCCTGCCCTTCTTCGGTTTCTTCTTACCGACGGCCTCCAAAGAGGGGATGCAGGGTGGGTTTTGGAATGGACATGTGCAGCACATCTCAAAGAACAGTTACAGAAAAATCAGTAACCAGTTTTTCTTCTCCAAGTGCTTGCACACGTGCATTCCAACGTGACTCAGAAGTTGACCCGGAGGTGGCTTCAGAGGGCAGGCTGACTGTAACACAGTCCAGCCGAAGCCAGTGTCATCTCTGGCCTGTTGTATAATGGCATAGTGCGAGGTGAACAAATGAACCCATGACCAGGTTGCCACCCTACATATGTCCTGAATTGGTACCTGCGCTAAGAAAGCAGTGGAAGAGGCTTGAGATCTTGTAAAGTGAGCAGTCAGGTTAGATGGGGGCAGTATGTTAGCGAGCATGTAACATGTCTTGATAAACTAAGTGATCCACAATGAGATTATTTGTGCAGCAACAGGGAAACCTCTCATCCTTTCTGCTCTGAACAGTTGAGTAGATCTGCGGAATGGTTTGATCTTTTGTATGTAGTAGGCCAGGAAACGCCATACATCTAATGAGTGGAGTCGCTGTTCCTCCCTGTTCACATATGATTTAGGGTAGAACATCAGCAAAAAAAAAACCTGCTTGACTGCAATGGAACTGAGATACAACTTTTGGGAGGAACGATTGGTGCAGTCTCAACTGGACCTTGTCTTTAAAAAGAGACATATATGGGAGTTCCAAAATGAGGGTTTCAGAGATCTGAACTTGTCTGGCCGAGGTGATGGCCACTATTTTCCAAGAGAGGTGTAGCAGTGAGCATGTTGCCAATGGTTCAAACGGGGGTCTTGGAAAACTTTGACAGAGAGAGGTGGGATCCCTGACCTGTGGGTACACCCTCTCCAGGCCCTTAAAGGAACCTGACTACTATGTCATGTGAAAAGACCTAACGACTGTCGACCTTGGGATGGAAAGCTGAGATGGCTGCTAGCCCTTTCTGTCTTAAAAACAGGTAGACTAGAATGAGCTGCAGACATGAAGAAGACTTAAAAGCAGACAGACTGCTTCCTAACATAGAGAGGAAGAATGTGCACTCTTCTGCCTGTTTATGTAGAACATGGCCATCGTATTGTCAGTAAGGACTGAAACAGATTTGCCTGTCAAGCAGCTGTACTGCCCTGAGTTCCCTGACATTGATTTGCAGGGAGAGTTCTTCTTGGGTCCAGAGGCCTTATGTTCTGATAGGCCCTAAGTGGGCCCTCCAGCCAATGCTTTGCATGACAGCGACAGGGATAGGCAAGGTCTCGAGAAGGGACCCCTTCACATAGTGTGCTCCTGTCTAGCCACCGTTGTAGTGAGGTTAGAACATGGGCCGGGACTATGAGAACCGAGTCCAGGGGGTGACGAGAGGGGGAGCAGACTGTGGTTAGCCAGGCTTGCAGAGGCCTGAGTTGAACGATGAGGAGGCTAAAACCAGATGGGAAGCCTCTATCAGTGCCTCGGTGCCAGCAGGGGCCTGCGGGTATTCCTCTTGGAGTTTGGTACCATGTTCGGTACTAGAGTCCAGTTCCGGGGTGTGTCTGTGCAGTACTGGGGGTGCCCTGGCCTCCAACACAACAAAAAAGATCATCTTGAAGTGGTCCCTGGAAGCAGTGGGAACCTAAAAGGGCCACTGCATGGTGGTTGGGCCCTATGGGTACTGCGTCCAGGAACCCAGAGGTTCCAATGAGCTCGGTGCCATGAAAGAGTGGGAGTGGCCCAGGGAGCAGCATGGTCAGCCGCTTCGGCAATAGGAATATGCTTCCTCCTCTGAGTCTGATGAAAAAGACAAGGAGGTGCGCCGCAGAAACCAGGGCGGAGCCATGCCACTAGGTGCCAGAGAAGATCACCTAGGGAACCTTGATGCTGTCAGCGCTGGCTTCCCTTTTAGACAGCTGGCGGGATGCCAATCTAGGTGCCAGCACAAACTCCCTGCTGCTTGGGGACATCGGCCTGACCCTTTGGGGAGCCCAGTTCTGGCAGGATAAGATCCCTTGCAGTCGTAAACCCTTCGGGGGTCGATAGGACCGCAAATTGACCAGTATGCTGGTCTTGAGTGGGAGTGATAGAACGCTACTGAACCAGGGCAGTGGGCACCTGACGATGCAGTGCCAGGGATGAAGAACAGCCGGACACAGGTCTTGCTCTGTTCCTGTCCTCCTTATCCTTAGGCACCAGAGACCAACTCTTCGCCAAGTGCTTGCAGTGTTTCTTCTTAGGCACCAGCGAAGATAATTGGTGCCAAGGAGCACTCAAGAGATGGAGGAGCACTCTGCACCAAGGCTGAGGTGCTCAGTGCCAAGTCAAATCGAGGCTCCAAGGCCGGTCTTAAGGCTGCCTCCATGAGTAGGTCCTTCAAGTAAACAACGTGGTCTTTCTGGGACCAAGGCTTAAACACCTTACAAATTAGACAACGGTCTTTCCTATGAGTTTCCCCTAAGCACGAGACAGCTTGAGTGCAGGTCGCTCAAAGGCATAGACTTGTTGCATGCAGCACAAGGTTGAAACCCCGTCAGCCGAGGCATGCCTCGGCACCAGGACGAAAGACAAAGCTCCTATCTAAAACTAACAAACTACTAACAATTTACACTAAAATTTGAGAAAAAACATTAAGGGATGAGATTGCCTAAGCAATGAGAGGCTCCAGCAACTACCATGGGCAGTAAGAAGGAACTGAAGGATGGCAGGGTCAGCAGGGCCTTATACCAGTGTGCAATGCCAGAAGGCGCTAGAGCCAACCCAATGGATACTCCCATGGGAAAATTTCTGGCAACTGTGTGGGCGCACAAATACTTACACTGAAATGGACACGTCCAAGCATCAAAGAAGAAGGAGTATTTTCCCACCAAAATTGAAGTTAGAATAGTGGTGGTCATCACAATTATACAAGCCTGCTGTTTTGCCAGACCCAGCTTCAAAAATGAAAATGGAAACTGTCAGTCCGAGCATCCCCATACTTTTTCAGAGCTCCTGGGGTGTTCTTTTCCTACAGTTCCTTAGCAATTCCACAAGAGGCCTGGGGCATGCAAGAGCCTCAAATTTGATGGAACAGTGAAGAAAGGAGATATGGCAGGGCAGCACGGAAGTGGCATGCTGGCAGCACAGAGTGGGGAAAGAGGCCTGGGGGCAACAGCAGAGCAGGGGCCATTTCACTTTCACTGCAGCCCTTAAGCAGATTCTATATGGACTCATCAGAGCCTCACACCGCTGCCTCCTAAAAGCCTTAGATTAGTTTAGAGGCTTCCCACCTGCATGCAATCCTCACTAGGCTTATTAGGAGTCTCACAGTCACTCCTAGGAGTTTAATAAGCATTGGTAGCCTAAAGCTCCTGGGGTGCCTAAAGGCTTGCGGAGGGTGGGGGAGCTCCCCAAAATCCTCGTAAGATACCCTGTCAGAACTCTACTCCTGTGACACTCCTTAGATTCACATGAGAGAGGCTCCCCTGCAAAAGTTCTCAAGGGGTGCACAGGATTAGGGCTCCCTTCCTGCAGATCTCAGGAAGTCTGCAGAAACAGTGGCAAGTGTTGGTTCCACACCCCATGCCTTCTCTTCCTGTCTGATGTTATGACTATTTTAAAAACTAAAGTAACTCCCAAACAAAAACTCTGTAGAAATTAAATTATGATAGACACACATCTGTGAAAATCCTTACACGAATATTGTCATTAGCAAAATAAAGCTATTAAAAGTCTGGAAGTTTGAAATAGTAAAGTAAATTTAGCTTTGACTTTCTATTTCTTCAAGTGTTTGTATTTAAATTTTACCTCTACTCTGAATTTCCTTTTTAAAAAGGTTGGATTTTCCCAACAAATGTTCTTTGTACAGTGTTTTATCCTTAAGTTACTGAAATATTCTGTCAACTTTAACATCATCTTAACTTCTTTTGTGTCTGGGAATTAATTAACATATTAATTAACAGATATTTTTATGCAACAGGATATTATTAAGCCTTCCCCATTTGTGGCATTTGCAGAGATGACAAAGGAGGAGGATGAGACGAATAGCTCAGAAGGTCCCCATATTAACACCTCTATGTACAATTTTATAATTACAAAAGTTACATATGTTTAATAAAACTTAAGTTGTGTAACAGTGTAACTTCAGAGTGTTTTGCAGTACCCTATATATGAACATTCTTACCTTTTTAACTTCTTTAGACTTTCTAATATTGCGTTGAGGGCCAAACTTCTTGTGTGTGCAAAAAACATTCTTAGACCATTCATTTGTATGGGATGTTAATTGGGGCTGACCAAAGCTGCCATCAACTCTATATCTGTCAGCTGGAATCTTATTCATTGGAGGGGGAAGAGTACCACAGTTAATACTTGACCAGCCATCTGTAGAATCTGTATAAGACTCCTGGTCACTGGCATTTCCATGTTGCCATTCTTGTAAGACATGTACAGGCAACCATCTCTGATTGCCTATGCCTACAATACTTTTCTTGGATGGCGGCACTGAATTTCGAGAAGAAACTAGTGGAACTTCAATACGAGCTGAAGGACTTAAGTGCTTACTTAAATTTTGTGATTTGTCATTCTGAATTATTTCTAAATGAGTGTTTCCTTCTTGTTCTTGACAGAAGCCATTCCAATGGGAAGCATGTTGATTCTGTCCCCTTCCAACTGGATTTTCCCATACACTATTAGGAATATGTTTACTTGGATTGCCTCCTAAATCAACCACCAAAACTCTATTGCTTTTTTCTTCTTGGTTAAAATTTCCAATACCACTATCACTGTTGCTGCTTGTACTGTTATTCTGATGAGCATCTGCATCGCCGTCAAGAAAAGCTCTTGCTCGCATTCCCTCAATCAGCTCACCCATATCCCTATAGAGGACAGAGATAAATTGAAGAACAGGTAGAGATGACGTTGGAAATTCTAAACAGCCATTTGTGTCTGGATCTGCCGTACACTCCAGTCCAAAACGTCTTGCTATACCTTGGTGAATTTTATGATGAAATAATTCTGGATCCACCATGAACACGTGACAAGATGTCCTCAGAACCCCTTCATCTTCCTGAGCCAAGCTTGCATCATCATTTGTCTGCATGGTAACTAGCCCAAAAAATCTTCTATCATCAGGGCACACAGCACTAAATGCCAGTTTCTCTGCAGGATATTCTGCCACTACACCAGACTTGTCACTGCAGAGCTGAATACAGTCATGCATAATCTTCATCATCACCAATGAATGGATTTTCTGTTCTGCCCGAAGGCGTCTCATACATCCCCGAATAGCCTGCAAACTGTCATTTTCCAGATTTGAGCTTGTTGAAGGAAGTTCAATCGAGCCTAGGTAACCTACCACCATAGCAACATTTAAAATACTTGCATCTAACCCAAAGTCTTCTGGATTTTCCAGTCCAATTTGAAAAACTGAATCATCATGCAACACTTTGGATATTTCTTCCTTTGAAAGTAGATTAGGATTGTTATTTATACTTTCATGTCCAGTTTCAAATTTAGTAGCAGCAGTCTCAGAAAGGGATCTTTGTTTTGATACTGAATTCTCTACATTACCAGCACAAAAACTAGGATTTTCAAAGATCATGTTGAAAATTCCACCAGACTGCATTTCTTCAACAACCTTCTCCGCTCTATTTATACCCAAGGCTTTAGAGTCAGGCTTTGGCTTCAGCCATCCTTTCCCATCATAAAAACCAACTTCTTCATCACTAGAACATGAGTCAATATGACTGTTGCCTTCAGCAATGACCATGTGCAAGACTCCAGAACATTTTCCTATTAGTTTCACCACATCTTCATGAGAAGCTTGTTTTACATTAATTTCATTAATTGCAAATATTTGATCTCCTGCTTTAAGTCCCACATAATCTGCAGGACTTCCTTTCATAACGCAGCTAAGAACACAGGGAGCTTGTCCAGAAAGGGTGAACCCATAGCCAGCTCTTCCTCTTGCAACTTCCACACTTCTTATCCGAGGAGGAGCATGCATATTGAGTCGGCGTTTCACTGTTTCCCCTGGTCTATACATTTTGGTTAATCTCTAGAACAGGAGGAGCCCTTAATTAATGCAATTCTTATTCATGTTTCACTTAGGTGCTTTCCTGGCATCCCAGTTCCTTCATCTGCAGAAGTCCTAAAGAATAAATAAATAAAAATTGATTTAATACTTGATATTTTCCTTTTTTGTTCTTCTTAGTGTTTGGGAATACATTTATCAAAATTACTATAAAAGATATCAAAATAATTAAATATTGGCATAGGATCATGATCTCTTGCTACTTTATTAATGCCAAAGCAAAGCTGAACAATTGTGGTGGACAGACCTCAATGTTGATGCAAAAATTATATTGATACAATTATAACTTTTAAAATATTAAGTTGTTACAACTTGTTTACTGAATGTTAAGATATAGCTACAACAGGGCCCGCCCAATTTTTTGACAGAACAACCCCATTTTAATTACATTTCCTGATGGAACCCCAGAAAGCAAGGACAACACCATTTTGAAAAGCAAAATGGTGTCCTCTCTCAGCGTGATCTTGTATGCACCATATTCGAGAGGTCATGTTGAGCGGAGCAAAATGGCGTCCTTGGCACATTAGAGATCACCATGACCCCATATGCTAATAGCATGACCCCATTTGAGATCATGACCCACAGTTTGGGAACCACTGAGCCACAAGTATGTTACAGCCATAATACTTGCAAATAGGACAACACATATTATGTTTAGCTAGTTATGTTGCGAAATGCTAAAGTTAACCAAAGAAATTCCAGAATTGATGCTATCACCCACGGACAAGCACGTCAGAAAAGATAGCCCTCCCTAGCCGTAAACCCATGTTTTTTTACCCCATGAGTAGCTGCATTTTAAACTTTACCTTGCTTTATCTTTATACCATTTTCTTTTGTGCTGTATTTAAAAGATGGATTGGTTATTTAAATTTGTGCTTTGTACAAAGTAGTTAATAGAAGTTTAATTGCTATAACAAACAGATTGTAACTCTATGGAGCTTAGTCAAGGGACAAACCCCTAAAAGTGTCTTATCTAGACCAGGACAACTCCCTTTCTGTAAAATACCAGCTTGATACAAACATAATCCTTATTTCAAGAAGACAAACCATGTACAACATTCATGTTTTAGGAAGAGACCTGATTGTGAAAAGGAACTTAGGATGCATTAATAAATCTGGGTAAAACTACACAAAGAATTCTAGAAATATCTTTGATGAAAATAATTTTATAATTATTCTAAAAACTTGATTCAGAGAAGTCTCTAGGAAAAACATGTAGTTGGACGTGTTTAAAACCTTATATGTTTATTTCTTATACGCTGAAATGACAAACACCTTTGTGAAATGTATACTTGTAAATACGTTAGCTAAACAAAAAGCTCCTAATATAATTACTGTGTAATAGTAAAATGCTTTATGTACCAGCACAGAATGTAATGACTTTACTAAACTAATTACTAATGTAAGAATATTTAAATATAGAATATTTATATTAATAGGGAAATTAATTATTCACAGTGCTCAAGCAACTCTCACCCAACTCAGGAAGACAAGAAGAATAATCTTACCAAAAACTGTCATGTAGAATAAACAACTTTTTTTAAATAACTATTTAAACTAATGACTCTCTTTAAGAATTATTTAATATTGAAAGACTGTTTTAAAAACTGAAAACTTTATATAAAGAACAGGCGTGTTTGGACTTTTCAGAAACAGAATTTCATTTCCTGTTAAACTGCTAAAATTGAAGAAATATCTCAGAAAATTGACTGAATAAAAAGACAGTTAAAACTACCTTTAAAAGTTGTCTGATGCTTTTCTGCCACAAAAACAATTAGAAATATTGTGCATTCATTAAACAGACTGCATATTCAAGAGCTGAAGGTGTCACCTAAACCAACCCCCAAGTAATGGAGCCAATGAGTGACAGCAACAAGCTTTGAATCTAAAGAAGCCTGAAAGAGGTGTGTTTTCCTATAATTTCATGGAACTAGGAAGAAGGGTATAAAATCTCTGAAGTGAGCACTTCTCAGACACACACAACCTCTGCTATCCTGCTTAAACAGCAAGCACTTATCAGTATATCCTGTCCAGCTCTACAAGCAAGCTGTCATAAGAGCTAAGAAAAACGGAGAAGACTAAGAAGAAACCAAAACCAAGGAAATCTCCCAACATTTCAAAATGGACTGGTGAGAAAAAGTTAACTAAGACACTGACAAGGGATTAGATTCAAAGTCCTATCATTTTACTGGGATATAAAAATGCTGTTGTAACTTAAAATACCAACAGTTTCTCCTGTTAATCACCAAATGATTATTAGTCCATGGATTCCTGGGAGGAGATGGGGCTAAATATTAGTAAACAAAAACAGTAGGATATAAGGTTCGTGATATTCATAATTGGCACATCTCAAGACAGTTCCTTAAATGACTTCTTTTAAGCAACAAATTTAAATATTTCTTTTCAATTTCATAGGATTTAGTTAAGATTGCTTACGTTGCCCGTCTATAAACTGACTGGTTGTTGTTATTATTAATAACTAGACAGGGTCCCACCTGCCCGTAAGCAAATTATTTTGCCCATACACTATTTTGCCCAAACAGTTTTTAAGTATCTAGTAAGATACCAAGACTGAATTCACAATAATTTAGGGAAACAATATTAATTAGTCTTAACTTACCAAAGTATGTCCCACCCCCCAAAGGCAGTCCATTTTCAAGGTTATAATTAGGGCTCTACCAAATTCATGGCCATGAAAAACATATCACAGACCTTGAAATCTGGTCTCCCCCTGTGAAATCTGGTCTTTTGTGTGCTTTTACCCTATATTATACAGATTTCACAGGGGAGACCAAAGTATCTCAAATTGGGGGCCCTGACCCCCAAGGGAGTTGCAGGGGGTCACAGTATTGCCACCCTTTCTTCTGCATGCCTTCAGAGCTGGGCAGCTGGAGAGCAGCAGATGTTGGCCGGGCACCCAGCTCTGAAGCAGCGCCCCGCCAGCAGCAGTGCAGAAGTAAGGGTGGCAATATCATACCATACCGTGCCACCCTTATGTCTGCGCTGCTACCTTCAGAGCTGGGCAGCCGGAGAGTGGTGGTTGCTGACTGAAGGCTCAGTTCTGCAGGCAGCAACCCAGAAGTGAGGGTGACAATACTATACCATGCCATCCTTACTTCTGCACTACTGCTGCTGGTGGCAGCTCTGCTTTCAGAGCTGGGCTCCTAACCGGCAGCAGCTACTCTCCAGCTGCCCAGTTCTGAAGGCAGTGCTGCCGCCAGCAGCAGTGGTAAGGGTAACAGTACCGCAACTCCCCCTACAATAACCTTACGACCCCCACCCCAAAACTCTTTTTTGGGTTAGGACCCATACAATTATAACACCATGAAATTTCAGATTTAAATCGCTGAAATTGTGAAATTTGCAATTTTAAAAATCCTTCTGGTCATGAAATTGACCAGAATGGACCATGAATTTGGTAGGGTCATAGTTATAATCTCTGTTAAAAGCTCTCCACAAACACACATACAGAAGAGATTGTAACACAAGTAATCAGTCTATCATTGGTGTACTGTTACTTGTGTTCTTTTATGTTTTCTTTTCTTTTCTAATAAAATAGACATGGTTAATAATTGAGGTTATTTTGCTTGATCTAAATCATGGTGTCCCCTAAGATATACAAATGAATCCCTGTGACTAAGTTTTCATCTACACTACAAGCTACAGATGTGTGTGACGATGGCAGAAAAAGTGCCAGGCTATGCCAAGGCCCCCAAGTCTCACTGAACACTGACAAATGCATAGCTGGAAACCAATCTGGTTCACCTATGTGTTAGCATTATTAAAATAGATGTTAAGTTTATAAGAATGTATTTAGACTTGATGAAATGCTTGTAGGATGCTGCATGTATTGGTGAGACACGGTGGGTGTATCTTTTATTGGACCAACTTCTGTTGGTGACAAAGACAAGCTTTCAAGTCTCACTTATAACATTTGTATCCCATGGTATAAAGTTATATTGAGTGTTTGCAGCGTAAGCCTCTGTAACTCACCAACCAGGAAAGAAGCATTAATTAACATAAAGTGCTCATCCTGCACACAAGAAGGCCCAAAGAAACCAAAATGAGCCATTGTGAAACATCGAAGTGTCACAACCCAATTGCCCCCTCTCCCTAGGGAGTCCCCTGGGAAGGTAGATCAGCACTGTATATTGCTAACACTATTGCAAGCATCGCAAAGCATTTTGGGGAGGGTTAAAGGTGTGTGAATGGAGAATGGAAGATTCCTTTGCAGGTTTACGAGAGGCCGAGGAGTGGTGGGGGGAAGAAAGAAGAAAGCAGAGAACGGGTTAACTCAATGCTGCAGCTAACAAGCTCAGTCCGAAGATAAGAAGCTGACTCCAGCACAAGGCCAGCTGCTACCTGCCAAGACAGAAGGGGGGAAGTCCAACCCCCCCACCCAGCCAGGAGAAGAGAAGAAATAAGTTAAGCAGAGCTAACAGCAAGAACAATGAGAGCGAATGAAACAGCAACAGCAAAGGCCAACAGAAGGGAAAACAGTCTCCAGAGCCGGGATGTTTTGGGAAACCAGGGAGGCCACAGCAAGCCTGTTTGGACTGGTACAAAGAACACCAGGAACAAAGGGCCCTGAACGAACCCCAACCCCAAGGAGCCCAGGACTTAAAAACCCTCCTGAGAGCTAAAGCAACTCGGAGAGCACAGCAGATTCTTGGATGGCCTGGGCCCAAGACAGCACTCCCATCCACCTTCCCCGCCCCACTTCTTCTGACGTTACACCCAGACTTGGCCAGTCTGGGTTGTACGTGTGGGAGTATGAAAGTGGATTAGGGCTTGGGATATTAATGCTTTCTTTCTTCCCCTCAGTGATGTGGGAGCGTTTCCAGCACTCTCTGCTGTTATTTTATTATTTTATCAATAAAGGTTTAAAATGTAGACACTTGGTGTGCCTCGTCATCTCCTTCCCAAAAAAGATCCTGTGGCCAAGCCTGATCAACTGTGGCCCAGGCAGATTGGTAACGAAAATCTGTCACAAAAGGACTAAGACTTTGCTGATTGCCCTACACGCACACCCATTAAGAGGAGACGGGACTCAAATA